TAGTGTAAGGTTTGTATCTGAAAAAGACTTTTATGCTAGCCACCCCTGCAGTTGGTATAGTCTTTCTTATAGCTGTTTTAATTCCACTAATTAAGCTAGGGAGCTGTTACCGGACAAGTGGTATTACCAGTGACATGCTAGACATTGTGTCTCCTGCAACACATTGATTAAACTAATTTAACTCCCTATAATAATATTTCTCTTTTCTGAGTAAATAGAGAATCTGATAGCTCCTGCTATATCATCAACCTCAGAAACCAATTGCAGTTTGTTTTCAAACGGCTGTCCCAAATCAGCTTAGTATCAATTATTCAACACTAAAATTACTTTATCTGGCAGATATCCACCTGTGTTCAAAAGGGGAGTAAATACTTCTGTGTAGCATTGTCATTTGTTCTACTTGACGCACATTTTAAAGCTAACTTTCTAGACTAAGCCACCAGGTGGCAGTGCTTCTCAAAGCCAGATGTTTGACAGTGGCCATGTTGAGGTTTTGTTTTAGACCTGACACCAAACCAAACCCACTGCCTATCAAGTCAATTTGGACTAATAGCAACCCTGTAGGACAGAATAGAACTCCCCCATAGAGTTTCCAAGGCCACAAGTCTTTCCAAAAACAGACTGCCTCATCTTCTCCCATGGAGGAGCTGGTTAAGTTTGAACTGCCAATTTTGGGGTTAGCAGCCAAGCACTTAACCACTGTACCAGCAGGGCTCTTCCTTATAGTCAAGATAAAATTTCTTTTACAGTTTTTCTCACTTAAATACAGCTGCAGTGGATAGCTTTCCACACCAAGTTTTTAATTATTATGAAATAACTTCCATGCTCTGTGCCTCTAACTTGCTCTTATATTTGGATACTGAAAAACAAACCAAATCGATTGCCATCCAGTTGATTCTAACTCATGGAGATCACATATGGTACACGGAAGAATTGTTCCATGGGATTTCTGGGTTGTAATCTTTATGAAAGCAGATAGCCAGGCCTCTCTTCCACAGCACCTCCAGCTGGCTTCGAACTGCCAACATTTAGGTTAGTAGTCTAATGCAAACCATTTACAACACCTTCAGGGACCTTATATGTGGATCTCACATACTTCAGGTGTGTTATCAAGAGGGACTCCACAGAAGGACATCATGATTGGTAAAGTAGAGGGGTCAATGAAAAAGAGGAAGACTCTCTACAAGATAGATTGACAGTGGCTGCAACAACAGGCTCAAATATAGCAACAATTGTGAGAATGGCACAGGACCAGGCAGCAGTTTGTTCTTTTATCCATAGGGTTGCTATGAGTCAGAACTGACTCAATCGCACCTAACAACATCAACAACAATAACTCATTTAAAAAAACTTTAATGTGCTCACTAGGTAAAAATAGAATGAGATTACTAGCTTTTAATGGTAGAATGTCATCTCTGGCACCTAAACTTGTAGTGTCCACATCTTTTGCAACCTGGAATAACAGTATTCCACATTTTTAAAAACCAGTTCAACATGGACAGCCAGTCTATCAAAGCCTGGCTGAGATGTGCAGAATGACATGCTCTTTGATTCTCCGGAGGCAAGGCAGTGTAGACTGCCAGAGAACCATGGTGTGGGCCACACTGGATTAGCATACTCCCTGCTTTCCCCTGTGCACACAGTATTGGGTTTTAATTTGTATGGCCTCAACTTCATAGAGTTAATGTAATAGCACTTAGGGCCACGAGCATCTAGGCCCAGTGTGTTAGACCTAGAGATGTTTGAGGCTTGAGGCAGGGAGGGAGTAACTATTGACTTCAAGATATAGGAAGAAAACTCATAAATCAAATTTAATAAGTATTTCTTTAAATGTCTATAAAAGTTAGAATTGTGGTTAACATTAACGTCATTTTGGTTTGAGTTAGCATTCATAAACATCTCTGCATTTAAAAACCATTTATAGGATAGATTTCTCATACTTTGCAAGAGCTCCTAAACATGCATGATGACTGCCCAGACATCTAGCCTTCAGGACCCTCATAAGCATAAATCTTTCCTATGAATGCAGACCAGCTACCATTAGCATAAAAATAAATTACAGAGTATTGTTACTTGAATAGAATATCTTACATGCCCCCCTCCAAAAAAAATAGACCTTGACATCATCATCTCCAGAATAGTTCAAAATCTCTTCCTCTCCCACCTGTCCACAGCCTTACCCTAACCAATCACCCTCATCAACTATTGTACTAGCCCCCAATTGTCTTCTTGCTTTTCCTTTTGCATTTTCCAGGCCCCACACAGCAGCTAGAACAATTTTTTTCAAAGGAAATAAGACTTCTGCTACCGGCCATCACAGAACAGCTGGTACAGAACTTGTTCCCCACACCATACAGAACTATAGAATTTTATATAATATATGAGGTACTATCTTTAGGTATCAAACAATAGGCAGTACAGGACCAGTGATCCTGAGAGAAACAAACATGGATTGCTGCCTGGGGCCACTTTCCCGTGGTGCTGGGAGGTGATACCCAAAGAGTGGTGATGTAGCTGAGCTACGGAAGCAAAGACCCAAGTTCTCAGCAGCTGTTGCCCAACTCTTCCTTTTGCCCACCATATACCAACCTCTCTGACCTTCTCCCTGCCCTCCAAACACACCCAGGACTTCTGCACTCAGCATCTGAGCATTCTCTATTCTCTCTACCCATAGCACTCTTCACCCTCTTCACATGCCGGGCTCCTGCTGGTCTTCAGGCCTTTACTTAATTTTGCCTCCTGAGGGACAATATCCCTGGCTGCCTAATATAAAATAGGTGTTTTCCCCTCCTCAAACCCCACCTTTATGTCAACACCTTGTTTATTTCCTTTCATAGCACTTACTACCATTTGTGATTATGTATTTTGCTATGTGTTTGTTACTAGTCTGTAGTCCCCATTAAAAAACTCACTGCCATCAAGTCGATTTGACTCATGGCGATTCCTCCTTGAGTTTCTGAGGAGGCATCTCTACAGAAGTAGATTGCCCAGTCTTCCTTCCAAAGAGTGGCTGGTGACTTTGAACCGCCAGCCTTCTGGTTATAGTCAAATGCCTTTGGCACTATGCTACCAGAGCTCCCAGGGACCATATTTTACTCTCCCTGTGCCCAGTGCTTTGTTCTCCCATGTAGTAATTATATATACACTTTAAGAATTAGTAGCGTTCAATAAATGCTGATAAAATAGCTGGATATTCAATTTTAAGGTAAACTGTTTTAAGAAAATCAAAACCAAGCCAAACTCATTGCCATCGAGTCAATTCCAACTCATAATGACCCCCATAGGATTTCCAAGTCTGTAAATCTTTACAGAAATAGATTGCTTCATCTTCCTCCCACAGAGCAGCTGGTAGGTTTGAACCACCAACCTTCTGGTCAGCAGCCAAACGCCTTACCCACTGCACCACCAGAGCTCTTTATTTTAAGAAAGGATTAACTCATTCATGTACATTTTATTCTCCTGTGGTTTTTTCCAGTGGCATCTATAGTGTGCATCATCCAGTGGAGGAGATATTCAGAAGTAGATAAGTGGAAATTGAAAAGCAGTAGGTGTAGAACCAAGTAAATCAAGGCTAAGAAGTTAAATTAATCTTCCATGTCATCTTGATTTTTTGTTTTTAATTTTAACTTTTAATTTCAACTTCTAACCCATTTCATATTATCCCTGCAACTTTGATCTATCAGTTACCGTCCTGGACTTCTCCTTTCTCAGGGAAATAGATAGTGTAATTTACCTGAGTAAGCAGTATCCTGGTGGCCCTTCAAGACAAAGACAATGATTTGTTAGTCTTTGTGTCCTTAGCACCTAACATAGGGCATGGCACATGGTAACCACTCCACAAATGTGGCAGGAATTAAGTGTATAAATGTCAGAGAAATCTTAGTTGTATTTTTTGGCAAAGATATAATATATATTTTTTAACTTTTATGATATTTTAAAAAATGTTTTAAGTATCCTTGAAAGATAACCTTTGAGTTCACTCTTTGATGAACGGGTAATTAAACTGTAGTATACCCATACAAAGGAGCTCTGGTGGCATAGTAGGTAAGGCATTTGGCTGCTAACCCCAAGGTCAACAGTTCAAACCCATCAGCTGCTCCACAGAAGGAAGAAGAGTCAGTCTGCTTCCATGAAAATTTACAGCCTTGGAACCCAGTGGGGGTTGCTATGAGTCAGAATCAGCTCAGTGGCAGTAGGTTTGGTTTTTGAGTTTTATATCCATTCAAGAGAATATTACTCAGTCATAAGCAGGAATGAAGTATTGAATACATGCTTCAGCATCAGTGAACCTTGAGGGGGGGGTTCATGCTTGGTGAAAGAAACGAGTCACAAAAGACCACGTATTGTATGATTGCATTTACATGAAATGTCTTCTAGTGTAGACAAATCCATAGTAACAGAAAGTAGCTTATGGGTTGCCTAGGCATGGGAGTGTGAGGGGGAAATCAGAAGGGACTGTTGATGGGTATGGGGTTTTTTGAGGGGAAGGTGAAAATGTTCTAAAATTGATTGTAGTTCTAGTTGTACAACTCTGTGAATATACTAAAAACCATTGAATTGCACCCTTTAAATGGATTAATTGTATAATATGTGGACTATACCTCAATAACACTGTTATTGAAAAATAAAAGATAACCTTTGAACTTGCTTTTTATACCTAAAGAGGGCAACTAAATGCTGGCGATGGGTTACAAGCTTTTCTCTGAGTAATAGAATTTAGATCTATGAAATAGATATTTCAATAATATAAAGTTGTAAGCATCAATTTCTTAAGACAGATATGCTAATTGTAAGAGATTATAAACATTTCCCAACTTTTTTCGTGGGTTGTTCATTTAGGAACAATTATTTCTCACTCAGAAACCCAGGGCATTTTTGAGATGGGTTTTACCTTAAAGGAAACTAAACTGAACTATTACTATTCAAAATCAGAAATTTTACTGAACTAAAATTCTAATTGTATTTTGTGTTCCAATTAATAATATATGTTTACCTTTCAGTCAGTGGAACCTACTGAAGTGAAGCACGCAACCACAGCATCAGGACCAGCATCAGTGGTTGCTGATCCACCCAATATTGAAAAAGAAATAGACCCTGGTAGCATCCCTACCTCTATCAAGTACCAAGACGACAATTCTCTGGCCCATCCCAATGTAAGAATCTTGAACTTTCATCATGCCACTTGAAATCTGGGTGACTGATAACAATTTGAACTGTTGTTATTTGGAGCTAGCCTAAGAACATTGGAGGAAATAGATTCACATGTTCTAGTTGCTGTAATTTTACAGAGCTAACCCCCAGCCCTTAGAGTTATCATATGCATTTGAATTCTGTGTACCCCAACTCATTTTGCCTGACTTCTAAACGTACTCTTTCTTATGGTTAAGAAAATTAGGCAAAGAGAAAAGGTTTTTTTTTTTTTTAATTGCACACTAAAAGATGTAATTCTGACCTAACTCTAGTTTGTTCATTGACCCTGAGCATGTCACTGACATCATGTTTTGCTGTGTCATCTATGAAATGTAACTCTACTGTGACTCTAGGAATAGTTGTAGGAAATGAACTTCACAAAGCTAAGGTGTACAATTATTAACCAATGGTATTGATGTTATTGTTGTTATGTGCCGTTGAGTCGGACCAGACCCATAGCGACCCCTCCTTGGGTTTCTGAGGCAGTATCACTACGGAAGTAGATTGCCTCATCTTCCTTCCGAGGAGTGGCTGGTTTGAACCGCCAGCCTTCTGGTTAGCAGTCAAGTGCCTTAGGCACTACACTACCAGAGCTCCTCTTTTATTCTAAGAGTTCATTAATTTTAAATAGATGGACTTCAGTGAAGAAGTCACAAAGAGTTAAACAGTATCCAAACTTTGTCCTGAAATATGTATTTTATAAAGATTATTTGTACTGTATGAGGTCAACTCCAAGTTATTGACAGACTAACTTTTTTTTTTTTCTTTTTCTCATTTCAGTTATTTATTGACAAAGCAGAGGCTGAGGAGAAATGGTTCAAGAGATTAATTGCTCTCCGACAAGAAAGGCTAATGGGCAGCCCTGTGGCCTGAGTTCTATGCATATGTTTGCTAGTACCATTAGATAGTAGGTTTTTAATATTTTGCTCTTAAAAAGAATTTAGCTGATTTTGTAAAAGGGTAATCTCACTTCATTCTTTTCCCATTTAGGTAGGCTTGAATATTTGTTGCTTTGAATTCAAGCAAACATTGTGAATATTAAAAGTAGTATAAAATTTTAAGACTGCATGAAAAGGTTATACTGTTAATAAAGTTAATCATAAATATCAGTGTTGACATAAAATATGCACAGTAGTGTTTCTGAGTAAAATTCAAAAAAGTTTTCATTTAAAGTTTCCAAGTTTTCATTTATAGAATTTGGATTGATCATACTTATATTAAAATCAAACAATAGCCTATAAATATGAGATTTCATTTACAATGTATTATAAAATCATGTTAAAATCTTTATTTTACTGTATTGCAAATTTGTAGGCATAATAAAAAAACATTCTAAATTATCTAAAAATTAACATGTTAAACTTGGATAACATTTATTTTTAAAATTTCTTGAAAATTAAATGGTGATTTTGCTTAGAGATTTCTACTAGTCTGCTTCTTTGAAAGATTTTAGAAGAATTTGGCTTATCCTTTTAGAAAGTGTTTGTTTATACTATACCCAACCAATTGGCCAAGGAGCCCTGGTGGTACAGTGGTTAAAGTTCTCAGATGTGGACCAAAAAATCACCAGTTCAAACCCACCAGCTGCTCCACAGTAGGAAGATAGGGCAGTCTACGTTCTTAATTACAGCCTTGGAAACCCTATAGGGCAGTTCTGCTCTGTCCTATAGGGTCACTATGAGTCAGAATCAACTCAGAAGCAACTAGTTTAACCAGTTGGCCAAATACACAAGATGGGAAAAACTATTTCTGCAAAAACAAGTAAGAACTCTCACTTAACCAACTGCTGTTCCCTACAGAAGCAGCCAGCTAATTGTAGTTTTGATTTAAAAAAAAAAAAAAAAAAAAACTTGACTCACTGGCATCAGGTCAGATCTGACTCATAGCAACTCCTCCTTTGGTTTCCAAGGCATAGTGCATAAGGCATTTGACTGCTAACTTAGAAGGCTGGTGGTTCAAACCCACCAGCCATTCCTTGGAAGGAAGATGGGGCAATCTACTTCCGTAGTGATACTGCCTCAGAAACCCAAGGAGAGGTCACTGTGAGTAGGGTCCGACTCGACAGCACATAACAACAACAACAACATCACTACGGAAGTAGATTGCCCAATCTTCCTTCTCAGGAGTGGCTGATAGTTTTGATAGGGCTGTCATTATAGACAGGCTTTCTCTACCAGCTGAATAAAAATCAACTTACATTCCATACTGAATTTGCCTGAGATAAGGACTATTAGGCTTTGCTTTCCAAAACTAGTTTTCAACAGTTGGCATGAATATTTTTCTTTTCTATGTTGTACTGTTGTCCAGTCTCACTCTAATTTAGTTCTATGAGTTCTGTAGTTCAGAACACAAGATAAGCATGAAAAGTCCCTTTAGGTAGGATTACTAATATATAAGACATTATAGTGTCATTTTTTTTATATCTCTGGAACTAATAAAATCCTAATCTCCATTGAAAATTAAAATTAACAAGTTTATACTCAATTCCAAAAGATATGGAAAATAGACTAATGATGAAATACTGGTTTTCATATAAACATGTTTCCCCATTCTAAATAAATACTAGTGTTCTTTTGACCTTAGCTGACAATAAAAGTGCCCAGTATGAACTCAAGTTTGTGTAATTTTTAATACAGACATCAAAATTCTTAGTGACTTAAAGGATTTCAGTTTCTGAAATATTTTCTATTTCATTCTTTGTATGACATAAACAGTGAAAGTACTGTCACTCTCTTGGAACATATATTTTAGTGGTCTAGGAAAGAATATAGGTTTTCATTTAGGCCAGTGATTCCCCAGAGAACCTGAATTTGTCATTTTCTCTCACTATGCCTGATATTCCTCATCTATAAAAGAATGAGAATATTATGATCTACTTTAATTACGTTAACACCAGTGTTTCTCTGTGGCAAGTGTTCCACATACAGAAGCTATAATTGCCATAAATTTGTATTTTAAAGCTAAATTTTTCATGGAGAATAGAGAATCAAGTTACTTTTATTTAAAAATGAACTCAATTTTGATCCCAGGAGGAACTCAGTGACTACTTCCCTCCTTCCTGATTTCCAATGTGATTCATTTTGTTCTATTATTATCTTCATTCCTACCAAAGACCACAATATTACTATACAAGCCAAATGAAATTTAATGAGAAAAATTTCATAGAACACTATCAATCATATCACAAAACTAAAGCTAGGTGATGCATCCTGACTTTTTTTTTAATATCTTAATATAATGAATCTATAAAAACATAACAATCCCTTTTTATGTATTTGATTAGTGATAACAGTTTGGACTTACATGAGCCCTCAAAGTGTTTTTAGAACCATTAATTTCTTACAGAATGAGGGATACTAATAACACAAGTTGGGTTTTTATTTCTGATTACTGAATGCATTTTCAGAGAAAACAGAAAACATTGCTTTGGGCACTCCCTTAGAAGCAGATACCTAAGAATATGAGCCCAAGACGCTTTGAATTGTTCTTTGCTTCAGTGTCTGTGGTAATTAAGGTTGTGTGTCAGCTTGGCTGGGCAGCTGATGGTAGTTATTCCCCATGATGAGACTGGCAATCAACTCCATGGTGGGATCTACCACAAGCAGCTGAGTAGCTGCCTTTGGGATGTGGTCTGCTTCCTGTATATAAGAAGAAGCCTTGGGAATGATCTCTAGCCTATGGCATGCTTGGACCCTGCATGTAGCCGTGTCATTGCTCAGCAGCCTGCCATGCTCTGACGACCTTGAGACTTACAATGAACTTGAATGAAGGGCCTGCCGTATGGTTTGGTAACATCAGAACAGTGCCTTTTCACTTGTCAACCTGAGGCTTCTAAACCTCAGCAGCCAGCAGCTGTCTGAGTGAAGAAAAGCCTCTCACTTCAGTGGGCCAGAAGCAGGAGGCAGAGCTGAAGCCCAAGGTTGAGAGGCTTTCACCCAGCCCCTAGAGCCCAGCACTTTGAACTTGGACTTAAAGCTTCCAAACTACAAGAGAATAAACTCCTGTTTGTTCAAGCCATCCCATTTGTAGTATTTTCCGTTAGAGCAGCACAGAGGTAACCAAAACAGTGTCCTAGCATGTGAAATGATGATACTAATAGCGAGCCAGGAGCCCTGGTGGTATAGTGGTTAAAGCATTCAGCTGCTAACCAGAAGGTCGGAAATTCAAACCCACCAGCCACTACATGGGAGAAAGATGAGGCAGTCTGTTCTGTAAAGATTTACAGCCTTGGAAACCCGATAGGGCAGGTCTACTCTGTCCTACAGGGTCATGTGAGTCAGAATCAACTCAATGATAGTGGGCTTGGCTTGGCTTGCGCTCACCTATTTTGATTTTTCAGTACAATGACATAGAAAAAAGCCTCATCATAGAAAAGCTGTTTTTCTTAGGTGATGGTGGTTTTTATGTCAAGGTATATTTCAACATGATAGCCATTTAAATGAAATATGGACCAGATAGTTGCACAAGTAATGATTTGAAAAGCCACACCTCAGCATCAGTATACTTATGTGTGTGCTTGATTTGCCATGGCTAATAGATCCCATCCCAGCTTTGTATCCTGCCTTGCCTCCCTGCTAAGGCCATAAGAAACCCTATTTGCTCTGTAGTTGGTGATCTACCATATACCTACTTGAGGAACTTCAGGTCTGCTTCACAGTCGGATTTACCCATTTATTCATAACAATATTTTTGAGCACCTAATTTGTGCCAGGCTGTGCAGGGGACTTGGGAATTCAAAAGTGAATCCAGTGAGGATTTTGCCTCAAGAAGCTTGGTTAGATCTGATCTGCAACCTATACAACTATGAGACCAGAAGAACTAGATGGTGCCCGGCTACCACTGTCATCCACTTGGAAGGGATGTACGAGATCCTGCATAGAGAGGGAGAACAATGTGGAACAAAACTCAAAATCATTTGGAGGGAAAAAAGATGGTTGGGACCAGATTTGCTGGTCCAATAGAGCCTGGTGGAACCACTGAGACTATGGCCCCTAGCTGCCCTTCAGGTCTGGAATTGAACCCACACCTGTGGTTTCCAGCCAAGCAAAGAACAGGCAAGTGAGTTAAACATTTACCTCAAGTAGACACACACCCTGGAGAGAACAATCATGGGAGAAGGAAGGGCTGCTTATGCACAGGGAGACAGCTCAGGGCACAGAAGAGTATGGAGGGATGGACACTGGGAAGAGGTAACTATGGAGAGGAAGTGGGAGGGGAGCTGTTGCATTGTAAATTTTGGTCAATGACATGAGACAAAGTATATGTGAACTGCTGTATGAAAAGTGAATTTACTCTGTAAATCTTCACCCAAATCAAAATAAAATTTAAAAAAAAAAAAAAAAGAAGCTTGGTTAGGAAGACCAGACATGTTATCTTTTAAAAACAAAAACCCATTGCTGTCAAGTTCATTCCGACTCTTAGCTACCCTAAAGGGTAGAACTGTCCCCATCGGGTTTCCAAGACCGTAAATCTTTATGGAAGAACACTGCCACATCTTTGTCCTACAAAGTGGCTGATGGGTTTAAGACAACCTTTTGGTTTACAGCTGAGTGCTTAACCACTGAACCATCAGAGCTTCTTCTAGACGTGTAAATAATGTAAGAAATATACTACTTAGTGGCAGAGGAGAGAACTTGGTTGCAGAGAAGAAATTGCTCCTAGTTAGAGAAATAAGGAAGGCTCCATGGTAGAGACTCGAAGCACAAGAAAGCTCACAGAGTCACAGGAACTCACAGCCACCCATTTCTGTCTTCCTGATAGACCAGGGACAGAGTCCCTCTTGTGAATAACCCAAGTGATCCTGCCCTTTGAACCATATCAGAAATCTAGGCGAACGTCTAGATTCTGTCACCTTCTGAGTCTCTCTGACTGTG